ATGGCAACCCATTTAAGGTGACTTTTTCTTACTTATATAAAGACTATTTAACATTTTTTTTTTTGTTTTATGTTGGTTACTTATCCAACTTGACCATTTCATGTGATATGTCCTGAAAGTCTATATGGTGTCGGTGTTAATGATTTTGTGTTCTATATTACATTTGATGATATACGTGAATTAATAGAACATCAAATGTTTAACATCTCAATCATACAATTTTGGATGTTGTAAGTACACAATTCTTATTAGTATCGAAATTTATTTAATTAATTATGATTCATTCATAATTACTTTTTTTTTATTTATAAATTTCAGTTATCTAAATCAAAAAATTGAAGAGCATGGCTATGATGACTTGTATGGATTTTTAGAGCCCCAGTCCATACAAAAATCGTGGAATAAGAAAGAAGAGGCTATAAATTATATCAATGATATAGGATAAAGAACTCGAAGAAGCAAATTTACTTGGCTCCTTACATCGATTAGTAAGTGCATATTTCTTGTAGCATTTAATTTATGTAATTTATATATGTATTGTTTAACTAATTTTGTCTCAATGTAGAAATCATTGACAGTTGTTGGTTCTTTGTCCTATGAGTAATGTTGCTGTATGGTTTTGTTCTTTGCATCGTAAGCCCACTATACATGTCAAAAATTTAGTCAAAAGGTAAACTTAATTTTTAATACGTTTTTAAATTTTATGCTTTTTATTATAAAATTTTAATTATGTAACTTATGTTCATTTTATTTTCTTTAGTGTTATGGTTGTGTATAATGTCATGAGTGGTATATTCACTGCACTATCAAAGAACTTAGAATGGATTTACCCTATGGTAAGTAAGTGGTTGGTAATTAAAGTCAATGTGCCTAACAAATGTCTTTTATTACCTTAATTAAACCAAACTATTTATACTACTCAATTTGATGTTCATTTTAGAGTTATAAACAACAAGGACATTATGAATGTGGATACTATGTCATGAATTGGATGTCAGAAATAATTGAAGCGGGAGTAACAAATGGTTGGAGTGAGATAAATTTAAAAATATTGTTAATTTCTTTTAATGCTTATTATGATGTAACTAATATATGATGTATATATGTTGCAGTTTTCTGAAGATGCTACACCATTAGAAGAAACCAAATTAGAAGACATTCGGATTCATTGGGGAAATTTCTTTATAGAAAAATTTAGAACTAGATCGTGTTGAAAGGTCTAGTATTACATGTAAAATTTAGAAATAGGTGAATGTGGCTTTAGCATTAGGCTGCCGAGTGCATGCTAATGTAGTGTGTCCTAATTTTTTTGAGCTTCTCTTCTCCTTGTAAGAAAAAACTCTTCTTTATGGATCCTAGATTGGCCTCTCTTGGTTTCTAAGTATATTGTTTCTTTAGCATTATATATTATATAATGATAATGATGTAACTGAGTCATTCCTATAATGATAAGGATCCCAGATTGGCCTCTCTTGGTTCATGCTGGATTTTGATGTGGTTTTTCTTACATTGGATAATTGAATTAATTTTTATAGGTTATTTATAATTGAATCAGTTTTATTTTAAAAATTAACCTGGTTAAAAAAATACAATCTATAACAATTCTACCTGGTTAAAAAAATACAATCTATAACAATTCTACGTAAAAACTGACTTAGATGTACACATACATCTAAGTCAATTTTGAATAAAAACCGTCTTAGATATGTACATATATGTGACACCCTTACTACCCCAACACATATATCGTAATAATGTAATTAAATTAAGGAAATAAATTTTTTCAACATATTGGTAAAAGGGTTCACATAGAAACCTTCACAAATGATCTTCAATGTCCAACATGAATAAAATTTGGAAAATAAAATATAAGAGTTTACAAATTGTTTTTAAAAATAATAACTACAACTCCAAATTCATATAAAAATTCCATATCCTAGAAATTCTCTGCTTCGATGTCACAATACCAGAGCACACCCATAATTCAATAGTTGAAATTCTAGATGTCACTCAAAGTCAAATCTTCCTCACCTAAAACATCCACAAATTATACGGTAAAAAAAGAAAACATCTATATGTAAAGAACATAAGGAAAAACACAACATAATCTTATCATAATTCATCAATTAATGAAGTTTTTACAAGTATATCATACATTCTGCTTGTTGCACCAGCTGCAGCTCTATCTACATCCATCCTAGCAAAATAAGCATTTTTCTGTTGCATAGCCATAGCCATCATCTCCATGGCACGGGCTATCTACTCATTGGTTCTAATCATTGTCTACAAAAGTAACAGCACCTTCAATATACAATAACTAAACCAGTCAACAAAGAAATCAACACAGCAATCAACACAACATAGAGCTCAGCACAACAAAAGCCTAAAGCAACCACCCCCACAGAGTGTCCACTAGACTCGAACTGCTCTGATACCAAAAAGTGTAACGACCCGCCTAGCCGTTCCACAATAAACAACACCATGCAAAATAGAGCATACATATATGCCTAGCCTCGGGCTCAATAAGTCAATATACAAAATATATCAACCAAATAGCTATACAACGTAGCCAAAAACATCAAAATATCATCTTCATCTGCTAGCTGCAGACCTGCCTCAACACACTAACCTATCCCTGCTCTTCTCCCATACACAGTATGATCATTGAAGTCCAAACCACATGAAAACAACAAGGGTAAGCTAGTGAAAAGAATCAACATATAAATATAATTACATAAATTATAAGCAGATACAGCATATCAGCACATCATTGAGTTCAGCAAGATCAGCATACAACACATCATATATACAGCTCACATCATTCAGCAAAACAACATTAAAACAAACAATGCATCGTCAAGCATATCAGCTAGGAGATCTCCTACAACAGCTCAGCCTTACAACCTATAATAACTCAGCCTTACGGCCTACAACAGCTCAGCCTTACGGCCTACCACAGCTCAGCCTTACGGCCTACAACAACTCAGCCTTACGGCCTACAACAGCTCAGCCTTATGGCCTACAATAGTTTATATCAACATTCAACACAGCACAACATAGCAGCAATAACAACATACAGCATACGACACAGCTCAACTTTTACAATGATACAACTTAATCATCATAATTCAACATGAACATCTCACAGCACAACACAATCATCACTTAGCTCAACAACATTCATCAATAACAGCTTAAATCAGCATATATCAGTATATATCAGCATATCTCAGCATATAAAGAAAGAACACATCCGCACCCGGCATAAGAGTACTCGCGCCCGGCATGGACCAACCAGAGAGCTCCAAGGCTCAAACGCGCCCGGTGCAAATCCAATTGCGCCCGGCGTACTAGAAGGCAGAGACTCTCAAGAGTCTCCCACGCCCGGCGTACCAAACCCGCGCTCGGCGCGAGCAAGGTAGAGACCTCCCCAAGGTCTCATGCCCGGTGCAATACCAATTGCGCCCGACGCCACCCTTGGCAGAGACTCCCAGGGAGTCTCCACGCCCAGCGAGACATAGTCATGCCCGGCGCCACACCAGAACCCCAAAATGCTAAGTCACTAACTGATATTGCGCTCAGCACAATTCAACCACGCCCGGCGTGAACCATCTAAGGGCTTCCATTCTCAAGCTCACCTAGTGCACACAACCCTACGCCCGGTGGGCTTGCCCAATAGAGCCCTCTGGTGGTCACGCGCCCGGCGCCCTACCAAGCAGCAACTTTTCAAGTTCAAAAATTTTCATCAAAACCTACACAAACAACCCATCCAAGCACATGCAAACCACCCAAAGAACCACATTTTCATCATACAACACAAAAATCAACTCATTTTCAGCATGCAATCATAAATACATCAAAATCCCCAAATTTCACCCTTTTCCCCAAAACCCCGAAAATGGATTTTCTTCAAAACAGCTCATCAATCTTTGAGAAATCAAACAATCCGTGAGTTTCTAACTCACTCTCAGACAACCAGCACGAATTCTAGCTTTCCTTAACTCGAAGGAGAAGATTCCGAGCTTCTAGGAAGTGGAGGAATGGAGAAAGACGAACGGAAAAGAGAGACGAAGAAGGAGAAGTCTCAGCAAGTTCAAAACACCTACTCAGCACCTGAGATCACCAAAAAAAAGACCCAAGCAAAGTGAATAGAGAATGGGGGAGAAGAGAGTGAACGGAAGGATGAGGAAGAAGTTTATGTTGAAAGGGAAGGAAAAAGAAACGGAGTAAGTCTCACAATGTTCACTATATTAGATCTATATTAGAGATCTAAGAGCTAAACAAACATATAACTATTACATATGTTCCCATTGTAGATGAAAGTGCTAACTGTCTTACCAAACCGTTAACCTCTACTCGATTCAATCAATTAAAAGACAAGCTAGGAGTAGTCAAACTATCCTCTAACTTGAAGGGGACAATTAAAGAAAAAGATAATCATAACCAAAATACTAATAACAAATTTAAAGTTTAAATTTAAATTTAATGATTTTATCTATTAAATAAATAAAAAATTTATCTAATAATTAACTGATAATCTATAACAACTTTTTACCGAAACAAATCTCTATTGTAATAGTTTCTAATTACTAACAACAATAAAATAAATAAATAAATAAATATATATATATATATATATGAACCATATATATTTAATGGTAAGGACTTAAACAAATATGTTGAGTAACCTTCTAATTTAAAGATTAATTTTTGCTGCTGCAATCAGGATATTAAGAATAAGTCAAGATAGGATCACTTCATAGTTCATACTTCATATGCCTTCCCCCAGTTCCTCAATCATTTTGCTTCAAAATTTTAGTAGAATAAATTAAGAATTTCATGTAAAAAGACAAAAATATATATTAAAAAAATAGCATAATTATTGAATTATTTTTTGCTCATTGATATCACACAGCAAGGCATAAAACAAGGATTTTGGTGTAAATTGTCACTAAGCGTCGGCATAACCGAGATAGAAACTACCAAAGGCAACCATACAACAGAATTTAATTCTCATGATGCATACCTTCATACTTACGTCCTCATTGAATGTCAAGGATTCATTGTAGAAAGAATTTGAAGCATTCTCGTTCAAAGGTATCAAGTTGCCTTTTACAGAGAATCTCCTCAAGTTTCCTGTTCTGCTAGTAGGACTCCACATAGAAGCCAGATCAACTCGCATCTTTTGAAATATTTGAGGCTGGTATCAAGGTACAAATACAAACATGGATGTGTCAAGAGTCAAAACTATAATAATGCCCAAGTCAAACCTACTTAGTCTTTAAAAAGGAATTACACACAAATTCCACTCTGCTTCAGCTATATTGGGGCATAACCATCCACTGAAGAATGTCCTTTATTTATTGATAAACACTCAACTAATATTCACCAAGAAAAAAAAATAAAGGAAAACAGCACAAAAAATATAAATAATAAATAACACAACACAACTTCCACAAAACAAAAATGGAAAATAAAAATTAACAGATGAATAAACACAGATATATAAACCACTAAAGGCTATGTCAAAAAAAAATAATCTTTACTTGTGTTTAAAGAAAAATAATTAAAGAATTAACAAAATTGCAACATTAAAGAATTAGCTTTTTTGGTGTGGTTTTCCCAAGATTCTTATCTATATAGACTTGATTGAGCATCACAAAGGCAAGCAAGCACCTAACAGTAGGAGGTGATAAAAGCCATGAACCTCCACAAGACTAGACGTATGATTAAAGTTGATTACCCATACCCTTACGCACAACTTTATGTTAAACTTTTCAAAAAGAAAATCTCATAGATGGATCCCTGGTTACAACAACTTTAAACAACATAATTCTACTATTTAAAATAAGTTGTTATTGATTACAGAAGGTATGGCTATTTCAATACCTGTATCAGGTTAAGCAAAAAATTCCTGGTTAGATAAGCTTGGATAATGGTACGAGCACTCAAAAACAGTAGAATAACATCTGACTGCTTCTTGCGCCAAAGCTTCGAAATCCAATTAGAGTCATAAAGCAAAAAAGAACAATACCTTGGGATAATGAAATTCAGTCAACACGATTGATCTTAATACTAGAACGTCAAGTTACCAATTAGAAATGCGTGGGAGACAAGAAAAGATGAACCGTGTGTGGCTCGTTTCTCCCAATAAATCATTCTATTTGGATCTAGCAAGCAAATGGAGAAACAGGAAAAAGCGGCTTCGAGTTCAGCACCAGCCAGAAAGCTCACCCAACATTAACCAGAAAAATCTCGAAACTACGTCGACAGAGGGAAATGAGAGAATGAAGAGCGAAGATTAAACTTGGTAATGGTTGCTCCAAATATGAGAGAATGAAGAGAGAAGAGAAAGAGGAAATACCTTGTCGTCGTTGAGGCTGTGCTCGCCGAAATCGACTTCGTCGTTGAGACTTAGGTTGAGAGCTTTCGAGAACAGAGAGAGAACCAGGGTTGTGGCTGGGAGACTGAACAGCGCGCATGAATTGAGAGCGGGGCGCGAATTTTGGGTCTCCATCTAAGTCGGTTTTACACAAAAACCGTTGTAGATCACTTAATATCTAAGTCAGTTTTATAAAAAACCGTCGTAGATATATTTGTGTAGGCTATTCTACTACGGGTATTCACTAAACCGTCATAGATAATGTTCCTTTTATTTACAAAAATGTCACCGCATCTTATTCTACATCATTTTTTAGTAAACCGTCTTAGATTAAGCGACTTAGATTATTCATTTTGTAGTAGTGTATGCCAGGGGCATGCCATCCTTGTAGCATCACTTATCCAGGGTTGTCTCATCCTTGTTCATATCTGTGAGGAACCACAATCACATCACAATCACGATCATCACAAATCTTACTATGTCAAGGTCACGCTACCCTTTTACAGCATAGGGTCGTGCTCACCCTTGACATAACATTGTTCTAGGGTCACGCTACCCTTTTAGCAGCCTAGGGCCGTGCTCACCCCTAACATAACACTGTGCCAAGGTCACGCTAACCTTTTTAGCAGCCTAGGTCGTGCTCACCCTTGGTCATCAGTACAAGTGTAACGTAGCAAGTATTTTAGAAGGCCATGGGTGATTTAGTAGCCCAGAACAGGTTGTTCCAAACTGGAATGGGTCGTTCCAAACTACTAAATAGGCCTATGAATTTTGGATTGGAATGGGCCGTTCCAAAATGGTCATTGTGAGTTAAATTCCACTCTAGAACGGGTCGTTCCGATTTTAGAACGGGTCGTTCTAGACGTGCCAGAACGGGCCGTTCTAATTTCAAAACAGGCCATTTTGCATGTGAATTTTACACATGATGAAAGAGCCCAGAACGGGCTGTTCCAAATTTGAAACGGGCCGTTATGGCCATTTCAGACTTCTATAAATAGAGGTTGTGCAGTTGAGAAGAAGGAGAGGTTTTTAGAGAGAAGGACTCTGGACTAGGAAGCTTGCTTTGGGTGGATTGAAGTTCCGGGTTGAGCTTTGGAAAGAAAATTCTACTTCTTCTCAATTCTTGGCTATTTTGAGTCAATCTTCAGGTAAGGAAAGCTAGATTGTATGTTGTTTATGTTGCATAGCCATAGCCATCATCTCCATGGCACGGGCTATCTACTCATTGGTTCTAATCATTGTCTACAAAAGTAACAGCACCTTCAATATACAATAACTAAACCAGTCAACAAAGAAATCAACACAGCAATCAACACAACATAGAGCTCAGCACAACAAAAGCCTAAAGCAACCACCCCCACAGAGTGTCCACTAGACTCGAACTGCTCTGATACCAAAAAGTGTAACGACCCGCCTAGCCGTTCCACAATAAACAACACCACGCAAAATAGAGCATACATATATGCCTAGCCTCGGGCTCAATAAGTCAATATACAAAATATATCAACCAAATAGCTATACAACGTAGCCAAAAACATCAAAATATCATCTTCATCTGCTAGCTGCAGACCTGCCTCAACACACTAACCTATCCCTGCTCTTCTCCCATACACAGTATGATCATTGAAGTCCAAACCACATGAAAACAACAAGGGTAAGCTAGTGAAAAGAATCAACATATAAATATAATTACATAAATTATAAGCAGATACAGCATATCAGCACATCATTGAGTTCAGCAAGATCAGCATACAACACATCATATATACAGCTCACATCATTCAGCAAAACAACATTAAAACAAACAATGCATCGTCAAGCATATCAGCTAGGAGATCTCCTACAACAGCTCAGCCTTACAACCTATAATAACTCAGCCTTACGGCCTACAACAGCTCAGCCTTACGGCCTACCACAGCTCAGCCTTACGGCCTACAACAACTCAGCCTTACGGCCTACAACAGCTCAGCCTTATGGCCTACAATAGTTTATATCAACATTCAACACAGCACAACATAGCAGCAATAACAACATACAGCATACGACACAGCTCAACTTTTACAATGATACAACTTAATCATCATAATTCAACATGAACATCTCACAGCACAACACAATCATCACTTAGCTCAACAACATTCATCAATAACAGCTTAAATCAGCATATATCAGTATATATCAGCATATCTCAGCATATAAAGAAAGAACACATCCGCACCCGGCATAAGAGTACTCGCGCCCGGCATGGACCAACCAGAGAGCTCCAAGGCTCAAACGCGCCCGGTGCAAATCCAATTGCGCCCGGCGTACTAGAAGGCAGAGACTCTCAAGAGTCTCCCACGCCCGGCGTACCAAACCCGCGCTCGGCGCGAGCAAGGTAGAGACCTCCCCAAGGTCTCATGCCCGGTGCAATACCAATTGCGCCCGACGCCACCCTTGGCAGAGACTCCCAGGGAGTCTCCACGCCCAGCGAGACATAGTCATGCCCGGCGCCACACCAGAACCCCAAAATGCTAAGTCACTAACTGATATTGCGCTCAGCACAATTCAACCACGCCCGGCGTGAACCATCTAAGGGCTTCCATTCTCAAGCTCACCTAGTGCACACAACCCTACGCCCGGTGGGCTTGCCCAATAGAGCCCTCTGGTGGTCACGCGCCCGGCGCCCTACCAAGCAGCAACTTTTCAAGTTCAAAAATTTTCATCAAAACCTACACAAACAACCCATCCAAGCACATGCAAACCACCCAAAGAACCACATTTTCATCATACAACACAAAAATCAACTCATTTTCAGCATGCAATCATAAATACATCAAAATCCCCAAATTTCACCCTTTTCCCCAAAACCCCGAAAATGGATTTTCTTCAAAACAGCTCATCAATCTTTGAGAAATCAAACAATCCGTGAGTTTCTAACTCACTCTCAGACAACCAGCACGAATTCTAGCTTTCCTTAACTCGAAGGAGAAGATTCCGAGCTTCTAGGAAGTGGAGGAATGGAGAAAAGAGTGTCCACTAGACTCGAACTGCTCTGATACCAAAAAGTGTAACGACCCGCCTAGCCGTTCCACAATAAACAACACCATGCAAAATAGAGCATACATATATGCCTAGCCTCGGGCTCAATAAGTCAATATACAAAATATATCAACCAAATAGCTATACAACGTAGCCAAAAACATCAAAATATCATCTTCATCTGTAGCTGAAACTAGAGTAGGATCTGGTTGGTCTCCTCCTCTCTGGGTTCCCCTCGGTCTTTAGAGAATGTAGAAGGAAAAGAGGTCAAAACTGAAAGGTGTGCTTTTTGGGAGTGCTAGAGCGCTCTATTTATAGGCATCAGGAGTGGCCGGAATGACCTATTTCAAGTCTGGGACGGCCCGTTCTGGACTCTTACGTTATGTGCAAAGTTCACAACCAGAACAGCCCGTTCTCAAACTAGAACGGCCCGTTCTAGGGTTGCATTTAACTCATAACGGCCATATTTGGAACGACCTATTCCCAACTAGGATTATAGGCCTTTTTTGATGGTTTGGAACGCCCCGTTCCAATTTGGGAACGCCCCGTTCCCATCTAAAATTTGTAGACAATTTTTGTATTTTGGAACGGCCCATTCCAGTTTGAGAACAACCTGTTCTAGGCTACTAAGTCACCCTCGTTTTAGTAGTTTGGAACGGCCCGTTCCATTCTGGGAACGGCCCGTTCTAGGCTACTACATAACCCTTATTGGGCTTTGGGCCTTCGCACAATCCGTGAAAATCAAGTTGTTACAATATACATCTAAGTCAGTTTTATAAAAACTGACTTAGATGTATGTGTACATCTAAGATGGTTTTATGAAAATCGACTTAGATGTTTGTGTACATCTAAGACAGTTTTATGCAAACTAACTTAGATATATGTGTTCATCTAAATCGATTTTTACGTAACTGACATAGATATGTTCATTCATCTACGTCGCCTATGTCTAAGTCGGTTTTAGAACCAATGTAGACATGGCAAAATAACTGACTTAGAATACAATCCTTCTAATAGTGTAAAGAAAAAAAGAAGCAATGAGGAATAAATTTAATAAGTACAAAAGCTACCCCAAATAGGGTTCTTTTGTTTTCTTTGGTTTCCTACTTTATTTCAACCATAATTTTTTATTGCATTGCTTTGTTTTTTATTTCTATATATTTTTTGTCCTTTTTTTTCTTTCTTCATTTTTCTTTCAAGCTAATGCCAAACAACTCAATAATATCAATATAAAATTATTCCCTTGGGGTTACACCCCTACACTTATTTAGAAGCTATTCCCAAAACAATTCTAAAGTTCCGTTAATCCCTAAGATTAGAGTGTATCATGGTTTTTCACAATATGCCTTGTAATGAGCTTCAAAATCAAAGAAAATGTTATATAAGCTCAAAGGGGCTAACAAAGGGGAAAATGTAAGGTAGGTTATTTTGGCTAGTACCATATAAAAAAAAAGGGTCTAAATCATATCAATAATAATGCATGTGAAACAATAGGCATAAAAAAGAAAAAGCAAAAGTAAAACCTAGAGTAACTAGCAACATGAGTACAATCACATAAGAAAGAAAATGACATGATGTAGTGTATTCTATCCATATCAAAATAGGCTCAAAATCTCACAAGGAAAATATTCTATCACTAATGAATCATCTTTAATTTTTCAAGTAAACTTACTATACTAAAAATGCAAAAATGACTCATACCAAGTTATGCGATCTCGACAAAAAAAAAAAGTGATGCAAGTTGTGAGACCCCCCGTACGGAACCCTTTCTTCCCCAACTCTCTTACTCTCTAATTCTCATTTTCTCCTTGCTCCCACTTGTGTCTTGGGTCTCATTTTTCCATTCTCGCTATCTCAAGGTGGTGGTGCGGAATAGGTTCAGGATTTCCTAGCAGAGTGCGCGGAGCTCTTCTTCTCCTTTACTGTCCAAGCTTGTTCTTCTTCTCCGATCAAGCTCCCCCTTCTTCATTTTCCTTCCCGAAGCTCGGATCTTCAAACTGAGGTAATGGAAGTTAGTTTGCTGCGTTTTTGGCTGAAATGAGTCTAGGAACTCATTGTGATTGCGGATGATTGATGGTTCTTGGTTGATTTGGTGAAAATGGGGTTTTTAGGGGTTTGAAGA